TGGGGAATCCTGGGAGTTGAAGTCCACTCGTCTTCAAGTTGCCAAGCTTGAGAAACACTGCTTTAAGATGAGAGTAAAAATCCCATCCATCTTATGTATGACAAAATCCTACACTGTAAAAAATGAAGACCTGTCACCACATTCCCTAGAACTTTGCTGAATGTAGAAGAAGGGTTTCATGTACGTGGGGGAAGAAGATACCTTGAGACCTGTTTGTGGGCAGCCAAGAATTCAGGAGGGAGAACTGTGGTTCATTTTCACTTTCACTCTCCCACCTTCCTCTTACCAAGGTGATGCCTTCAGCTACCACTCAGGGAGCGTTTTCTCCACTCGGGACCGGGACCCAAATCGGGTCCTCATCCCCTGTGCCATCTCTTACCGTGGGGCATGGTGGTATCGCAACTGCCACTACACCAACCTCAATGGGCTCTACTTTAACAACCGCGATCACCAGGTAATCCCCAGGGGGGAGGGAGCAAAAGTACTTTTTCTGGAATGGTTGAGTGACCAGGAGGACCAACGGGGAAGTTTTCACCAAGGAGAAACACAACGCATCCTTGACTCAACCTTGGGCAGCTAGTTTCGGGAAGGTGCAGGACAAGCCACGGGCTACACACAGCCTCCATCCTGCAATAAAGGGGGTTGGCCGTGGGGAGTTCAAGAGAAGGGTCAAATGGCCTGTCCACTGACCACCTACCCCAATGCCCGTTAGGCAAAGTGGCTGCCTCCCTCTTGCTAAAAGAGTGGAATGGCCTTGGGGGAGAGAGAAATCTTTCAGAGAGCCGGTCCTGTGCCACTAAAACAATAATCACAGCCAATTACTGCCCCATCTACACAAGCTGACCTCTGGGTCATCAGCTTTATTTGGGAGGGAGGGTTTATCGATGTGTAGATATCAGCCTTCTGCTGCTGCTGACCCAGGATGATCATGCAGTGGGGGGGGAAAGGTCCTGGCTTTGATAGAAGAGGGTGCCACAGCAGCCCAAATCTCAGGGCTGAAAGTGAGGTCAATGGCCTCCTAGGGGTATCCACAGCATGGGGTCAAAAAGGTCAAGAAGGCCCCCACAATGGCATAATCCGAGCTCCGCCCATTTTTAATACATGGAGTTTCAACTGCACCAAGGGGCCTCCATCTTAACTTTTTTGCCCACAGCCTGCAGACACCCCCCCCCACCGCCCACTCTCTTTTAAGTGGACTTCTTGTCAGGTGGACATCTCTGGCCTTCCTGGATCACTTTCATCTCCATTGCTCTCTCTGTTTTCATTGATCTTCCGTTTTGGGGGGGAGTCTAGATTTTACATATTTGCCTTCATGTTTCTCACGTGTTGCCTCTCTCTCCTCCACTCAAGGGCGTCAACTGGTTTAACTGGAAAGGATTTGAGTTTGCCATTCCTTTCACTGAGATGAAACTGCGGCCCAGCACCTTCCACCCTCTGCAGCAGTCATGAGTGGGGGGACGCGGGTGCTGACGCAGGACGGACTAAGGGAGAGAGCAATGGAGGAAAAGCAGCAACCACAGCAACAGGAAACCCCACCACGACCCCTTTGCAACAGGATACCTCACACCCAGACTTCATTCTGCTTTTCTGGCCCACCCTGAGAAGAAGAAGAATGGACCGAAACCAAGAAAAATAGTTGGTGTTATAATCTCATTCTCTGGTTGTCGAGACTTGAGACATCCACCTAAGTCAAAAGGAAGAGAGAGCTCAGAGTTTAAGAGGGTGGGAGCAACTGATGAATTTGAATGATAGGAGAGGCGATTTTGGGGGAGAGCTTTCAAGAGAGCGAAGAGGGCAGGTTGGCGAGCAGAGCTTTGGCTACAGAGACCAGGTTCCCTTCCCTTCACTTCGTTCTGGGTCTGGGAATCAATTAGTTTGCAGCATCGCAAGGCCCAGTTCTGACCCAGAGTCTCTACTTCCTGACCCCATTTGCTCCTCATCTGCTCACCAACTAAAGATTTTCCCCTTCCCTCTTCAGCCTTACTCTGAATCCAGGCTTCTTTTTCTTCCTCCCAGAAATACTATTCAAAATGGAGTTAAAGTCATAGGTAGTTAGTGAATGCAGCTTAACATAAAAGCACTTTTAATGTTTCTTTTTTAAATTCCTTTGGGGCCTTATGGAAGCCTTGTGAACTCAAGCCACAGACTGTCCACCCCACCGTAAGCTTTTTGCCTCCTGTCTCCCAGGCTTTCCCATCTAAAGGTAATCTAAGAGAGATGACTGAAACACAGAGGTAGGGGACAGAGTGGAAAAAGAATTGAAGAAAATTGGAAAGACCTCAGATTCATTCTTGTCCTTACAATAATAATACCCTCAACAGTCAGTCGAGGGTACAACAATTATCTTTCCATTTATAGCAAGATAGGCCAGTTCCTATGTTCCATGCAGTCCCTCTCTTTTCCTTACACCAGGTTTTGGGGACCACGTGAGGATTCATTCTCACTTAAATGCAACATTTTCAGGAAATTCCTGCACCTAGAAACCTAGCATTTTATGGATGGCTAGGCTAAATTCTTTCTTCCTTGCTCTCCAGTTTTTCTAAGCGTAGAGGATTTGTTGGAAGGGTATGGACCAAATCTATGTTGACTGTTTCCGAAAAAAGAGCATTTTCCTGCCTCTTAGCCATACATAAAGACTTGCGGTTGGGCACTTTATAGGGAATAATTGTATTGTGAGCGTTATCATTGTAAGGCATTTGCTATTCCAGTGGTTCTTAAAAAGTGGGGACAGTTACCCCCAAGGAGGTGATTTGGGTAAATCCTGGGGGTAGTGGGCAATTTGTAATTGCTGTTTGTAAGTTGAGGATCCCGTTTGGAATGCTACTGCCGAGACACTTGTGTAAAATAACATAGTCAGATTTTTTTGTGGGGATGATGGCATTCTTCGAGACCGGGAAAAGGTCACCAGAAGGAACAGGGTCAGGCAGTTTAAGAATCACTCTGCTATCCTATTCCTTCTGGTGCCCTTGTGGGCTGGACTAAGTCCACCCAGGTTTGTGGGAAATACAGCTGATAGACTGGAGTTGGAGAAAGGCTGGGGTGGATGTCAGAATTAGCCAGAGAGTTCATACAAAATCAGAGAGAGGGAAATGCAATCCAAATGCGGGAACGGCTTCCCAGTCAACCTGCTTTCCAAGTCAAAGTGGGACCAAACATTCTTGGTCCCTTTTTTGAACCCATCTCTTTAGTGGACCAGACGGACTTCCTTTGAAAGATCCAAAGAGATCAAAATGTTGTATTATGATCCTACTTTTTAACGATCGGTTTACTAATACATTAGTACAAACAACCGACTGAATGAAAGGTAGCATTCTCAGATTTGTTTAAAACAGTCCTGATTGTAACCAGACAGTGCTAGGAGTATAAATTGTAAAGTGGGACAGGGAGAGATGCTTAATAAAATCCTACCCTTGATTTTCCCTTTTTCAAATGGTTTTTGCTAATTATACTTCCCTACAGTCTTCTCAAACTAGTAATTACATCACCGGGCATTCTTTTTCTTTGCTGGAAATGTAGAATGTGGAAATAATAATACCACTGTAATCTGATCATGAAGCACAATTGAAGATGAGATTGAAGGGGCCCATCTCCAAGACAGAAATTCAAGGCTGGCCCCAGGGCAGAAAACTTGGAGAGGAAACCGAGATCTGAAGAGGAGGGACACAGAGGAGACTTTGACCAGTGACCCCAGCGAGATCTTAAATCTGTCCATCATTTTCCACAAGCACAACTTCACGTGGCTCACCCAGCACCTTTCTGGGCTAACATTTGTGACTTGGGCAAATGCTCTTGTTTGAACTGGATAAAGATGAGGCAAACAGAATTGCATATTTGGCTCAACACAATATGGGAACAAAGCTGTGCCTCTTTGGGACTTCCATGGCCTTTGATTGCTGCATCTCTCTTCAGCCACTTGATATTTGAAGCAGGAGGTGGAAGAGTTCACAAGAAGGGGGGTTTTTTCCCCTTCTTCTTAGGGGGCATCAGGGGCACATTGCACCCAGAAGGTTTCTTTACGACTTGAGGCAGGGCAGGATATTTGCACGAACTGGGTGGGAGGGAAAGGCAAGCTGTAAAGAATTGTTTCTTTATAAGGGGGTGGAATAAAACTCTTCTATAAGAAGTGCTTGGGGGAAAAAGTTATTTTTAGATCATGGTGAAAAAAATGTTTAAAATAAAAATAAAATATTTTAAAAAATAGAGAGGACTAGTGACATTCTTCTAGTTTTGTTTGCTTTTTTAACAGCCACTTCATCTGGTGGAAAACAAGTTGGAATTGGTTTAAGTCAGATACAGTAGGACGTTTAGAGCTGAATAAGAGCGTTCGCTCTTGATATTCATTGGAGGTGGGAGTAGAATTGTCTCTAACTCAGTGTTCCTCAAGCTTGGCCACTTTAAGACAAGTAGACTTCAACTCCCAGAATTCCCCAGCCAGCATGGCTGGCTGGGGAAT